TAAGTCAGCGCTCGGTATGAGAGCTTCATATGAGTCTGAGCAGTCGACGACGAAACATCGAGTTATAGCTGTGATACAATGATTGTTATTACCGTGGGCACAGACAAGCTCTAAAGGAGGCCTTGACAGACCTGGTTGAAGACGTGAACAAAGTGGGGGATCATATCATCCCTGGTAGACCGCGGCCCGAATCTCAATCTGCCTTGGAGGAGCCGCACCAAGCAGTATAGATTATCCCCCAAGAGCCTCACCAACGGCCCGCCACGGATAACGTGATTAACCCTGAGGAAACGTAGCACAGCCTAACAAAACTTGGATATGGAGACAACAATGTTGTTATACAAGTACTTCTTCGTATGACTACAATACGGACAGACACAGACCAATACAGATTGCCACGAATTATGCCGGATCGTATCCGTAGCTAATCCGGCGTAAAGTCCGTGAATGTGTGATCTAGGCAAAACTTGCGATGACCAAGCTGTAATTTCATATAAAAATGCAAGCTAATATACGCCCACTGGCAGCTTTGATTTTGAATAAAACAATATAGCAGTACCGTAACAATCACCAGTATAAAATATTCAGCCTTCAGTCATACACTTTTTTAACTCTTTAGGGCGAAACTGAATAATATGGAGTATGAGTTATTGCCGTTGTTCTTGAAAACGTGTTCAATCTTTAGCATGTGAAAAATCTAGAAGGCAAATATTCAATCTTCAGCTACTGAATAATAAAACCACGTTTTGTCAAAATCAGGCAAGAATCGTGCTTTTTAGTGTTTAAAGAGCTAAAATGTGAAAGCGTTTTCAAGAACGAGGTCAAAAACTCCTCTGAAACATTTTTTTTTTAGATAGGGTTTCATCCTTGGGTGATTACAAACACTCATGACAAGTTTCATCAAAATCTGTCAAGAATTATGCCTTCTAGAGTGTTTACGAGCTAAAAAATTAAACGCATTTTCAAGAACAAGGGCAATAACTCTTACTAAATATTTTTTGATTTTTCTGATTTTCAATAGGGTTTATCCTTTGGTGATAACGAACACCCATGGCAAGTTTCATCAAAATCCGTCAAGAATTGTGCCTTCTAGAGTGTTTACAACCTAAAAATTGAACGAGTTTTTAAGAACATTTCATGTGGGCGTATAACAAAATGCTACGGTAAATGACTGAAGGCCCATTACTCATTGTTATATTCATATCATTGCATTCTCTGTCGACAATGTTTTGATTTCATATAGACAGTAAAAGTTGTTGTCATGAAAGTATCTATTTTTGTTATGCTTACAGTTCAGAACAATACTGTCCAATATTCCCTACAATATTGAATGTTGAATACAAACTTCAAAGGAAGAGATTTAGCTATTGAATTGATCGGGTTGTCAGTTGATTAAACATTATACTATTCTGAACTAGGTTTATACTCTACTGGCCACTGATTTTGTCATGTACTCACATAAAGAATAAAGAGTGTCCAATTCATTGGTGAGTTTTATTTTAACTAATTAAATAATTCATATTTAGTAGAATAAAAAGAGGATACTGAAAGCGTTTTGAATGGATATGAATAGATCAAATCCAGGTACGATTTTTGTTTTTTTTTCAATTCTCAGCTTGCTAACACGGTTGAGCTTTTTATTCGTTATGACAAACTGAAGAGCTCTCAAGCAAAACAGACCATTATAATATTATAATGTTACTGACTTGCTTACAATATCGCTTAACTTTATAGATTATTCTTGTGGTTTAGAAAGGAATGTATTCTTCCCATCTGATACAGCACACTTTTAGTCATGAGTTATATCCTTCTAAATGTGTACTGTCGTGATTATATTTTGTAATCTAGACTTACGAATCTGTTTCATTTTTTTTTATCTTAAAGAACCCTCTATTGAAAAATTTCAAACAATCATGACAATTGAAATTAACGTATATCATATTATTCTAGAAATCTGTTATGAAGATATGTGTAGGTGTTTTGGCAGGAAAACTATGAATATATAATCGTTAGAATCAAGAAGTATTGTATTGTAATGGCCAATTAGCAATACCAACATTCTCAACTTAGTCCCTGTCCGAAAATTAAATTTGAGATCCACATATAGTTCTGTGGTACGATGTCGCCGGGGAGGCATTATATTCTCACTTCCGGAATACCGGATGCATCTATAGGATTTGTTATGTCAACTGGGCATTCCTTTGGGTTATTATTTTTGGTTTATTTATTGCAGAATTAAAAAAAAATACGCCGAACTGAGACATTGATAAAGCCGTGAGTTGCCGACCGCTGCTAAGAATGCTTACCTAACCAAGTGAAACCAGGATATAAAATATTTTCTCTCGTTCTATTTCATCAAATTATTTCTGTTTTAATGGAGAAAAAGTGTACTCTTTGATCAACGGTAATAAACTAATGGTAACATGCATTTAAAATCGTGCCATTATCTCATAGATCTCTTCTCTTTTTTTAGTAAACCACGCATCTGTGCAGCGATTTGAACATTTAAATTGATTTAAGATTAGGCGAATATGGAATTGTTTCATCACGAGATTCGGGCATTTGAAACAGGTGTAATTAAAACGACAAATACAAATTTCTGATGTCACGTGAGAAACTTAGCAAGCTATGCCATCGTTCAGTGATACCATACCTGAACACATGTATAACCTTGGCAAAGGACTAGTATACTTTTGAGGATTGAATCTTTAGCTGTCTTCTGGCTGAATTCTGAATTGTGTGATTTCTAATACAGATATCTTAAAAAAAGTAAAAATTTATGTGTTTTCTTACAACCGAGAATTTATAGTGACAATGTGAATAGAATATTGGATTCTTTATTTGTATGTGCGATGTTTTATATTATACACGTTGTACAGACTGTAAACTATCACGATATATTTTTCTTTGCTGAAATAATTGTAATCTTGTGTTAGTTAAAGTGGATACTTGTACAATGTCTAGGCTACTATGGTACGTTAAAGAAATAGCACAAATCGTTAGTGAAAATTAGTGCTTCATTTTCGAAATACATGTAGTCATGACTGAAACATAAGTTTCGTTGTTTGTTTTGGGTGATTATTTTTTAGTCAGAAATCACATGAATATAACTAATTAAATGATACTTTGTGTGGATGGAGATTGTTAGACAACTGAATCTTAGATTATCTTCTCATGTATTAATTAGTTGTTACCATTGTGCATTTAAGGTTTAATTGCCGGGCATGTTAATGAGTGTTTATCACAATTTGTGATTCCTCGAGCAAGTGTTTCGAGAAGATTCTACAGTGTCTAGTGTGATGTATATTTCTGAACTGTGGGAGTTAAGCAATTAACTTAAAGGTATGTTCTGTGCATTGACAAGAGTTTCGGAAAGTTATATAACTACTGAAAAGTCATCTTTGAAACTGTCACAGTGGTGGAACAATTCGTATTTATCAATGCAACATTGATTGTTGAACAGTTTTTTTTTCTTTTCATAGGAAAACCAATAGCTACGTGTTAATGCTGTAGATGTAGAACATCTGACAAATGAAAAGTGTGAACTGTAAAATGTCATAAGATGAAGTAAGAGAATGTTATTGGCAGGTTTTAATATTAATGCATTTGTGATTTCTGTAATAGTGTTAATATTATCACGAAGTAGTAAATGGACTTCAATTTTATGCTCTGTTAACTAAAGAGCAACAGGTTTGCTGAGTGATTTTGTTTAAAGACATACTGTAATACGTCATGCTTGTAACTCGCTAGATGATTAAAGTACAGCTTGCATATAAATTTCAGAACACAACGTTAACAGACATAGACCAATCGAATGAGTTCTTACTCTTGTCTTAACTAATACAGCTAATTGTACACATTGTGCACATTTGTGATATTGAGGAATACTTTGAGTGGAGTTAGTGTCAACTGATACACCAAAATATAAATGTATATGGAGATGTTGGACATTGAATTAATCCAATATAAATTGAAAGATACTATTATTTTGTGATCTGTTATATGCTATTTTGTAATTCATCAATATACTGAATACTGAAGTTCTTATTTTATCTTCAGTGAAAACACATACGGAATACGACATTGCGACTAACTGGTAATATTTCATAAAAATGATGCGACAAATAAAGTGCTACTCATATATTCAAGAGGTTTAAGTAGATGAATGTTTACAGTTTATATGGAATATTGCATGTGACTTAATGCTACATATTTATATATATTATGTCAAGTGTACAAGTGTCGTCTAATGGTGTGGCATGATTGCGAGCGTTTTTTCAACTAGTTCATAATTATACAACATAGAATTTGCCAGAACGTCTCAAGTGAGATTTTTTTCTTTGCATTGTTTAAATGCCATATAAGGATACATACATATTTGGAGAGACATAGGTGTTTGTTTGGGTGGATTAATATCATAATATTAAGACAAAACTATTAGTTATAAGGACAGGGTGTGACAATTTTATGGCTCGAGTTGCCATCGTGCTGTAAAGAATGGCTTGTCATCACACAAGTAATGGATGTATTTTTTAAAGAGAAGTTTCTAGACATCAGTTTGTGTTGCTGTGTGATATGAATAATAGATTGGGGATTCTAGACATTGGCTATTAATTATTTTGGAACAAAAAATTCGTGAAATATCTTTTACACCATATTTCAAGAAATATGCGTCATCAACTTGAGTATTAAAATGTGACCCATATAAGAAAACATCAACGTGAGCTCCAACTAGTTTGCATAACAGAGCATCCTTATAGTTGTACTGAAGCTTAATATCATGTCTTTATGATAAGATCCGATATAATGAAAATATAACATCCAACTCAACGAAAGTTATGGCACAGGGACTGAATCTGTCAGGACTGATGTCACAGTGGAACCAAACGTGGCTAAATGGCACTGATGTCGGATCTGTGGATGCTGACGAGGACAGCTTCAAGTGGATTCTTCAGCAGTATAGAGATAGTTTATTAACCCTTACAGATACGACCACCATCATATTGTTAACTCTGTATGTTCCAATATTCTTATTATCGGTAATCGGTAATATTTTAGTGCTGGTTGTCATAGTACCTAATAAACAATTACAAAGTGTGACCAACAATTTCTTGCTAAATTTAGCAATCGCCGATTTACTGGGTAAGTTTCCTTTGACGTATTTTTATAAAAACATCCCTCGGCATAGGAAAAGTCATAGTTTTGTTTGTTTATATCCACAGCTAAATGTTGACTATTCTTCGATTCCCAATCCATGTACAAACCAGCTGACATGATGTTGCATTTTGTATTGGTCCCGATAAGGGAATCTCTCTTTGAAGTTTCATCATGCCTTGATTGATATTAAGATTAAGATATATAGATTAAGTTGTATTTAATAATGTTAATAATTGGTTTGTCTATGATCGCACATAGCTTATATTATTGTGCATAAGTAGTTAAAGAATATTGATTTCAGCTGGTGCAGGCAAATTGTAAGTGGTTTTAAAAGCATCCTCTGTAACAGGCAATCTGGCAGGAAGATCTGAACGTACCATTACCCTATTAATCCTTCAAGGGATTGATATATACAGACAGTGTGAAATATCGTGACAAGCCGTAGTTTATAGTAGATCTTTACAGCGATTGTCTTTAATTATAGACATATCATCACATAAACTATGTATAATATTCCCACAGCATCAACTAAATACATCAGAATTACTTCTGTGTTCAAATATACGGTAACATGACAGCTCAGTTGATAGATAATTATATTGAAGTTGTTACTATGGACGTTGATTTTATTTGAATACTGTCACCATAATCTTTAAAATATATTCTTTAGTTTGAATGCAGTTTTTCATGTAGAGGATTTGGCGTTGAAAGGGACACCATTAAAGTGGATGAGGTGTACGAATTTAAGTAAAAAAAAGCTCACTTGTACAGAAATGTCTCCTTATTCTGGCGCTTTAAAAAAAAAAATCGAGCCAGCATTATAAGCCAAACACCAAAACTAGATTAAACTACTTAATCATCAATTAATACTCTCCGTTTTTTATCACCCATTTAAAAACAAATTCAGGTTGATTAGGTAGATATATAGATAGTAGTAAATACCATATTTTAGAAATATTTATATATATATATATATATGTTTCAAATAATAATTAAAAAATTGTTTACGGTTATTTAAATCAACACAAAGCATTTCCGGTCATTTGCGACGCTGTTGTAAAAATTTGTTGGCTGGAACAAATTATTGTCGTAAATGTTTTCATGATAGTTCAAATAAACTCTATAACATTATTACCATCGTAAGATATAGTGTTAGGCTACTTGTTTTGGAACAAGTGAAGTAAATAAAGTAAATATCGTGACGGGAATCTGTTAATATTTAATATTGTTAATGAAAATATCGTCATAACTTTATTGAAAATCAATCAGTCCGTATCCGTAATAATTCTATTCTTTTAAAAATCATTTGGAGAGTTTCGGTGTTAGCTGTTTCTGTTTATGGTGTCGTTTACGTAATGTGATAAATATAAATGAATAATATCCAACTTTCGTTCTTTTCATTTTCCAATGGTTTCGAATTGTATGTTTGATTTATTTTTATCAAAAAATTCATTTATTTATATTATTATTTATGACAACCAATTATACCATGCACTATTACTGGTTAGTGATCATGGTATGAATGATGGATTTCACGAACATTACCTATAAAATTACATACTACTTGAATGTATTAGGTGTATTATTCATAGATTACGACACTATGGCTTCAGTCAATTTTACTACCAATATTACCATAAACGTCTGGAAATGGATAAGGAATATTCCCCAAGATAGTGTTTGTGAAAAATAATAATACAGTCGAGTATAACAGGTTTCTTGTAAATCAGAGGACTACTAGATAAAGTTAATTTCTCCGTCGTAAATAATAAATAATACTCCAACTATGAGCCGAACAAGAATTAAATATCTTTACAATGTCTGACTTCAATTTACAAGTTTTACAGTATTCAAAATGTATTGAATCTGTAGAATTTAGAACTGCTTACAAGATGTGTTGTATTTTGATTCAAAGAGTCATTTATCTACATTATTTATGCCATTATTCACCAAATTCATCGTTCCAAAATTTAAGGTCCATCGAACCTTCAATTATTTGATTCCATCTTCTTTGTGTCCGTTCGCTTTCGTAATCGACTTTTGCAAAAAACTTTCGATAGACTTTGACATGTTTTTTTGTTTTTGATAGATGTTTGCATCACTCGTCGATTACTGTCGAAAATAGTCTAAATTGCCCATTAGTGTATCTTGGGATGGTCTATATTTTTACGGACAAGAAACGACTTTGTGAAATTATTGTTGGTATCTCTACTGTATTGAGCACTATTTTAACAGTGGGATTTTTTGGTTATTGAGGCATCAAATATTGATGTGTAATATATTATTGTCACGTGGTGATGTGGATAATACAAAGACTTTTTTTTTTTAATATAGACCCCGTGTTACGCTATGACACTTGCTCATTAATGAATTTCAAGAGACTCTCTCCGGGTCACCGAGCAGTTTCATCAAATCACTTTCAGCAAATTAAAATATCTAAAAGCATCCTGTTTAGAAGGCAAAACTAATATGTGGGAGAGGGAAACTTTTATTGTGCTTATTACATTAGATTGAAGTTCAATCTAAAATAACCTAATCCCGGAAATTACAATCATGAAAAGATTTCTATTCTAAAAACCACAACACGGAATATTGATCAAAATTGTCCGCAGAATTCTTCCCACTTACCTACATATGCGTTTAACCCTGCTCTATTCCCACAGGCATTTGTTTTTATCAATAGTCGACTCTATCTACATAGTATATATATGAGAAGGTGGCTAACGTTTCATTGAATATTTTCCTCCACACAAGACCTATTTTATATCTCCCACAGTGTTCCTTTCCATACTAATCTAACTATTGTTCAATAAAAATACTAAAATTATGTACACCCATCGTTTCAATGTATCTACTTCCGGTTGGCGGTTTCAGGGCAGAATGTTATCTATTTGGTAAAGAAAATGATGCTGTAAAATTACTGTGTTGTTATTTTCATTACTTATATATTTGTAAAGAATGGAAATCACCAATATAATTACTTTTTTTCTTAGTAATTAAACAGACAGATAAGTCAATAACCATGCTTTTACTTTCATTTTGGTTTTTACTCCACAGGTAATTATAGCTGACCGATCGTATTGACCGATATATATTTACTGCCAAATCAACCGGAAATAGATACATTGAAACGATGGGTGTGAATATTTTTAGCATTTTTATTGAATAAAAGTTAGATTAGTATGAAGGGGAACACTAAGGGAGATATAAAATTGGTCTTGTGTGAAGGGAAAATATTGAATGAAACGGTTGATATGAAACAGATGCCTGTGTTTCTTGCCCCCTTTTGTATAATGAACAATAGATCTCCACTAGCAGGCGGTGTTGTCTTAAGGTTATCTTTTTCAAGACATTAATCCAGCAATGGCAAATCTCGACAAATTTTTCTGGTATGGTATTCTTTGTCAGCCACTTTACCAAAGTGTAAAGCCTCTTTTATCTTTGTGCCAGTTCCGTTTAAAAGTTAAGTTCATGTTTTCAGCGTTGCACTCTTTACTTTTGCAACGATTTTGGAGAGAATACGGATGAGATAACCATTCACTGAATTATATATTAATATGAATCATATCATATTTAAAATGAGAATAAAAATAGTCACTTGTCACAAGCCCTAATAATATTTTGGTGATCTCTAGTTGATGTGTTAAGAAATGGTATTTCTACGCAACGAGTTCCAACCTCTGAGAATCTCTCGGATTAAATCGTTTCTCTTGGCCTGAATTTCTGATTACTCAAATAACTGATGTGTAAAAACTCAATTGACAGATAGGATGAAAAATGATGCTTAGGTAGCAGTCGTCCTTTGGGAATTACTTCAAAATCAATCGGGTGAAAGCTTAATGATGGAAATTATAGTTGCAGAGACTTTCAAATCTAAACATTTGCTAAGGTTTTATTGAAACCTACATATAGGAACCTAAGCTAAAATCTTATAATGAAACCAACCAACATATAATTTTTTTTTACCTTTATTCTAAAATAATGTTGTTTACTTTTAAGCACACCGAACCAGCATTCGAATTAATATATCAATGGCATTGATGAACGTTATCGTTATCTTTTCATTTTTTCATGCGAAATGTTTTTATTACTTTCTACTTCTGTAACCATATTAAAACCATTAGTCAACCTGGGGTGCAGGCGCTTGTACAAAGTTGTGAGGTAATGATGTATTATTTTGAATGTTTCAATTCAAATCAGCGACAATAATTTCTTGATTTCAAATGATAGCAATCGTTCTACTTTCTAAATATATCATTTATTATCTTTGTGAATTTTTTTTTTTTTTTTTTTTGCTTTCTTATGACGAATAAATAGTTGGTTATATTTCCTATTATTTCAGTCGACATAGTTGCAAACCAGAAAAGGTAATCTGAGAAAGATCAAAGCCAAAGTTTAGCCAAGGACTAGCCGTAAGACAGCATCCCTGTGAACCTTAGTTGAAATCATTTCTCTATTTCATCAAGTGTCAAATTCATTTTCAATTCTTCCTGTCGATTGTTTTCTATTTTTCCAAATGTTGCAAATGGCTTTATGACTAATAGTTAGGTCTTGTACATTAGATTAAATAATTCTTTATATATTAAACTATAATCTACGATCATAAAAATAGAAAAAATTCATATCTTTAAAGACGCCACAATTTCGTTTTACCAGCCGACCCGTGTCAATAATTCATCCCATCATTGATGTGTACTCAAGGAATGATGAGGCATAAAGGATACTTTCATGATGTCTTGTGTTATAGCCATGCAGAAAATCTATCACAATTTCAATAAACATTCAATCAGACGTGATAGGAAATAACATGGTATCAGAAGAACGCTTTTAAAAACTGACACAATATAAGTTGTGCAGACAGCTTTCTTAATTACATTTGATATAATTAGAAACTTATCAACTGAATTCTGTCTTTCAAGAAGTAGCTTTTTATGAATGTGTTTAGGGACTACAGTATTATCAGGATGAAACATTTTAAACTGAGG